CAAACAATCCCCCCCCCCCCAAAAAAAAGGACCCCCACTCAAACCACTACAATTTTTGGCATGCACCTGGTAGCATGACATTTATTAGGAATAAAGACTTCTGAGTTCTGGTGCATTTGTGCGTGCGGGGGTCGTTATGTTACCGCTTTATGGTATCTAGTTATACTCTGTATAGCAAAATTATGTTACAGAAGCAAATATCTACTAATTCAGTAATTAACAACAATTACATCAACTTTATAAGATAATTTTAATTTCAAAACAGTTACAATGTTAGCTTAAATTCTGGTCCAATCACATTTACATTGAGGTAAATAATATAAAATCAGTTTACTTGTGAAATGAGACTTGTTTTCCTATTTCTCTTCAGTCATTACGTCCATGTAGACACAGCTATCTGTTTTTACTTATCATATGTTATATAGCTTATATACACATGCATACAATTTTACATAATCAGCGCTTATTGTTTGATAATTTGCAATTACTGTATGTACAGTAATATTAAATGCAGACACTTGCCTGTTCTGGTTAGTGCTGCCGCTGCTACAGTAAATCACAACATCACGTAACCAAGATGCACTCCAGATTTATGCCTCCATGGTATCTAGGGATTGTTTTTCAAACTTTTTAATACAGTCTTTTAGTTGTTGATGAGAAATTTTGCTAACGATACAGCTTATTGATAGGGCTGCACAAAATATTGCAAATATATCGTCATTGCAATATCACTGTGCGCAATATTTATATCCCAAAGAATTTCTTGGAGTGCAATAAATGTTGACAAATTTGTTTGAAGGGTTTTGAAGTTGTATTTTTCATGATAATGCAATATCTAGCCAGTAGGACAAAGTCTCAGAAGCAAAAGCTCACAACAGACACAAATGAGAGAGAAATGAGAAAGGGAGGAAAGACAAAAAGACATATATCGCACCCGATATTGTCATTGCAATAGTTACAAATATTGTTGCCATCGAAAGATATTCGATCATGCAGCCCTACTTACTGAATACACACAGAAACGCATACATAAAGACTAGAGATCGGCCAGTACTGGTATTTTAAGGCCGATGCAGATATCGAATATTCTGACATCAGTCTAACCAATGCACGATATGTGCTGCCGATTTTCTTTGGGCCAATTTCTGAAATCAAAATAGCTTTTTCTTCTATTTGTATGATAAAAATGACGCAGTGATAAAAAAATGTTACACAAGTCTCAATTTGAACAAAAAAGAAAATATTAACAAAACATATATTAGCAATTAGTGCTGGGCGGTATACCGTTTTGTACTGAATACCGGTTTTTATTTTTGTTATGATATGAATCTTTTGAATACCAGACATTCCGGTTTAAAAAGCGGAACGTTTCGTCGCGGCCGCCAGTGAAATGTTGTTTCCCGGGGGGACATTTTTCCTTGCTGCACCGCTATGTGCGTTAGCATGCTAATGTTTGGAGCAGCTAGTTGTAGGTGGGTGGCGATTCCGCTGCTTATATTGACTGACGTTTAAAAAACATCCCGTTTTCACCGTCGCTGAATGTAGTTAACACCTCTTCAGTGACGTGCACAGTTAGATTTAACGCGGTTAGTTAATATGGAGACTTAACGTGGTTCTATTGTGAAAAACCTGCAGGAAGTAGTTCGTAGTCGAGTTGGAATTGACTGGTGTGCAAGGTGAGTCGTGCTGATAAGCTTTAATAAATAACATAAAACAATAAACCCGATCATAATCTTTTCTTAACCCTCCTCCTTCACGACTGGACCAAAATGCGTGACTACTGTCTCCAACCACCAGTCAGAGAAGAACAGACACAGAGGAGGGAAACAGAGACACAGACAGAGGTACAGTAAAAGAAAAAAGTCAATAAGCAGGGTTTGTACATTTTATTATCAGCTGAGCTGTGATGAAAATAAAAATACCGTCAAATATCGTGAAACCGGTGAAAATGTTGAAAATACCGTGATATAAAATTTTGATCATATCGCCCAACTCTATTAGCAATGGGTATCAAACAATGTAGAACATTTAAAGATATAACAATAAAAACAAACAATCTTAAGTTAAGTTTTTTACATTTTGTATTGGTGAATGATGCAAAACAAAAAAACAAATATCGGCCAAAAATATTGTCCGACCGATAAATCGGTCGACCTCTAATACAGACACAGTCTAATACAGACCACAAGCAAAAACATAGTTGCTTTTTTTTTGCTTTTGGTGGAGGGAGCGTGATTAAAAATAGATGAAGTTTGGACTGATAGAGTTCAGTGCACAAGCTGTTGCGTGTTTAGGGAAGCATCAGCTCAGAAAATCCATGTCGATTTGGTGGATGTAGCTCAGAAAACTGTTTGCGTTTTTACTCAGAGGTTAGATAAGTGAAGTGTTCAATATGGGCTGATATAGATGACGCCATAAAGCTTTTTAAACATTTTTTTTACTTTGGTAAAAGGAAAAAGAAGAAAAACCGACACTGTTCCAGTATGAAACAGAGCAGTGCATATTCTACTTGAATGTTCTGCAGATTTTGTGGATCAGCTGACCAGTTCATAAAAGCATCTCAGTGTCCCAACACTCATGACCATATGGTGCTCTGGTGGAAGCAGACTGCTGATTCGCTGCGTGTTATTTGTCCATTTGAGGAAATGTTGCTTTCTAATGAGTCCTGGACTCAGTGGGATGGGCAGCGTTGGCACAGAGAGGCGGAGGCTCCTGGTGATAGCAGAGGAAGTCGTGTTCTTTGCTCCGTGTGAGCTTTGTGCTCACCTCGTTCAGTTATTCAGAAGGAAAAATAAACACAAGGAGGGGTTTACAGTGCACCAGTGATGCTGACACAAGCTCTGGTCGCAGACGAGCAACCTTGAGGATGGCATGCTTGTGATCCTTTCAGAACTAGCGAGGCCTTGTTGGATAAAAAAAAAAAAACCGAGAAACAAGCACAAAGGATTAAATTGTTTTTCTTCTTCTTTTTTTATTTTAGAGCACACAGAACATGCCAAATGCTGGCTTGTTTGACGAGACCGGCTCGAAGAAGACGTTAAAGGCTGCTGTGTTGGTCAACGCTTGAACCCCACAGTAGGAGGAGAAATGGGGAACACGGCGACTAAGTTCCGTAAGGCTCTCATCAACGGAGACGAGGTGCTGGCCTGCCAGCTCTACGAGAGCAACCTGCAGTTCAAGGAGGCTCTGGATCCCAACGCTACATATGGAGAGTCCTACCAGCACAACACTCCTCTGCACTATGCTGCCCGCCACGCCATGATGCGCCTACTCAGGTCAGGAAAAGGCCCAGAAGAAAGTCAAAAGATGCTAAAAGTATTATCTGATATAATTAACCTGTTCAGACTGTTTTTTTTGTTTGTTTTTTTTAAACGATGTGGTCAGAGAAGAAACAAAGACTAATTCACAACAATGTTGGAGTTTTATATCCAGTTTCTTTGGATAGTTGTAAGATTTACGACTAGTCTTATAATTTAAAAATGTTGTGTTATTATAAGAACTTTTTTTTATGTTTTATCCCCTTACTTTTTATTCCCATCTGTCCCTCCTCCTAGCCATCTGTTCTCAGGAATGTGACATGCTGGGTTGAAATAGAAAGGGATTCCAAGAGCTTCTCATCTTACAAGTTAACAACTTCGCTGTGTTTTGTCTTCATCCAACTAAGGCCCTATTTTGTTTTCCCTGCACTGTCCGACATGAAGTCCTGACTATATTTCTTGGGTTTGGGTTAGAAAATTGATGGCAGATAATACTATGTATAAGCTAGTATATTTGTGATTATTTAGATTTTCATAGAAGTCTAGAAATTCTGAAGCAGTTTGCGCATGTCACTGAGTCTGTCTTGCATGTTTTTATAATTAAATATGTAATATATTCATAATAAAAGCATCTTTACCCATCAGATATTTATTCTGTGTTACTATAATCAGTTAAAGGCCACGTCATCCTCAAAGGAATGCATATCTGCTGCTTTTTATGCCAGAGTTTTAGACTAAGAAGAGACAGTAATTCATATTTTAGTTTCTGACAGTTTCATTAAAAATTGTCCTGTGGTTCATGAGAGGTTTTGCTAACAGAGTTGACTTTAATAGAGGCAACGTTTTCAAAACAGATCTTGCACAATCCGTTTTCAGAAAAGAAGTTGGAGATGACTCTCAGTATCTGACACCATATTTGAGCTCAGTGTGTGTAAAGCTGACTTGAGTTTTAACTAGTTTGCTGAGATGAGTTGGTTGTAGGGCTGCCACAAACAATTATTTTTATAATCGATTAATCACCGATTATTTTTTTCGATTAGTCGACTAATCGGATCATACGTTAATTGAATATAAAACACAGAGCTTATCGTGCCAGAATGCAGT